TGTTCACATGAGTCCTGGGCCAGAACCCGCTGTCCTAAATACTGTCCGGGGCTCTCCCATGACATCGAGATCTCTGCCTACAGCTCAGCAAGGGTTGGCCAAGTCATTAAACGTAAGGAGCTTCTGTTGTCCCATTTGTAAAAGGAACAGTACTTCCTGCTCTGCCTGCCTCCCAGGGGACTAAGAGATGGAGGACATGGAGGCCTTGAGACCAGGAGAGGCCAGATAGCGGGAGAATGAGGGCAGTGGTCCAAGCTGCAGACATCAGCAGGACCCTCACCTCTGCCTGGCCTAAACACAACCCCGGGGCCACTCCCATCCAACATTTGACTTTCCAACGGGCTGGCACGTTGTGTATGCTGCCCACGTCCTGCCCTGGATGACCTGGTCAGGGTATCAGGGGTGGAAGGTGAGAAGAAGTGGTGGCCAGTCTAACCCTACATCTCAATTCCTGCCCTGTTATGTCCCTCCTGGCTCTTCTCACAATTTGTCAATAAATGCATTTATTTTAGTCACTTGTTAATATCTATCTCTCTGCCAGACTCTAAGTCAGGGTTGGCAAGCTTTTTCTGCAAAGGGCCAGAGAGTATTTCTGGCTTAGGGGGCCATACCATTTCAGTTGCAACTACACAACTCCACTGTTGTGAGGTGGAGGTGAAGCAGCCATAGGGGCGCCTGGCTGGCTCAGTCAGTGGAGCCTGCAACTCTTGATCTCAGGGTCGTGAGTTCAAGCCCCACGTTGGGTGTAGAGATTACTTAAAAAAAATCTTTAGGGGCACCTGGGTGGCTCAGTCAGTTAAGCGTCTGCCTTCGGCTCAGGTCATGATCCCGGAGTCCCGGGATCGAGCCCCGCATCGGGCTCCCTGCTCAGCAGGGAGTCTGCTTCTCCCCCTCCACCCGCTCATGCTCCCTCGAAAATAAATAAATAAATAAATAAAATCTTAAAAGAAATTCTTTAAAAAAAAGGTGAAGCAGCCACAGACAACAGGTTAACAAATGAGCATGGATATGTTTCAATAAAACTTTATTTACAAAAACAGGCCAAGGGCCAGGTTTGGCCCAAGGATCAGTTTGCTGACAACCACTCTAATCTCCAAGACAGCTGAGACTTGTCTGATTACTCTCAACTGTATCCTGTTGTTTGGGCAGACAGCACATTGCAGGCACAGATTTTTTTTTTTTTTAAGATTTTTTATTTATTTGACAGCGAGAGACACAGCGAGAGAGGGAACACAAGCAGGGGGAGTAGAAGAGGGAGAAGTAGGCTTCCTGCAGAGGAGGGAGCCCGATGGGGGGCTCGATCCTAGGACCTTGGGATCATGACCTGAGCCGAAGGCAGACGCTTAACGACTGAGCCACCCAGGCGCCCCTGCAGGCACAGATTTGATCAATATTTGATGAATGAGGGAGTGAAACAGGAAAGACCTAAGTGGTGGGACTTGAGGGACGTGTGTGATGTGGACTGATCAAGGCGGGTGCAGAGCTTGTGCAAACATCAAGAAGCAGGAATGGAGGGGATGCTGCCCGTCCCCAGGAGTTACCAGGCTCGGAATCACCCCAGAGGTCAAGATAGAGGGGCAGTGGGGAGTCTAAGGGCTGCCCCAGTGTGGCCACGACTCGGACCCACCGCTAGGGTTACTGGGAGGATTAACAGAACAGGACCCGTAAGGGTCTCGGCAACAGCTGCTGACACATGATTATGTTGTTGCTGTTATTAACTCAAACACCTGAATCTGCCCCCAAGCCCTCACCAATGGCCCCACCTGGGTCAGCAGGGCTCTCCCCCACTGAAGATGGGCCTGTGATGACCGCAAGAAAGCCTGTCCATGGAGAAACTGGGGGATATCTGTCCAAGTGCTAAGGACACCTCAACCACCTGTTTACTCACAGGCTGGAAGCTTCTCCAGGGCAGGGTTTGGTCTTGCCCCAGTCTCCCCCATGCCCAGCACAGTGGCTGTGTCCCCTCTATCAGACTGGAGGCTTACCTTTCTCTCTCCTTACCCCACCTAGTCCAGCTTGCTGGAGAGGCTGGGGTGACTCTGATCTGTCACCACACTCGAGTGGACATATTCTGAGGTCAGCCTGTGGCCTTCTTTCTTAGGCACAGCCTGGTCTCCAGAGGTAGCACCTAGCACCTGAACCCTCCAGCCGGAGCACAGAGCCCCTCTGGCTGTGGGGTCCAGTCCTGGCTCTGCTCCCAACAAGCCTGGGTTCCTTTCCTGGGTCTCAGTCGCCGCATCTGCACAGTAGGGGTTAGGACCAGGTGATGTCTGAGCTCAGAAGTGTTGCTGGCCTATACCCCTGTATAGATCTGGGTGGATACAGCCCTGTAGTGCACAGCTTAGTAAGGAGATGACATCTTTGTGTTAAGAAAAAGGCACCCCATATAGGGGCAGACACAGCCCATGCCAGAGCTCAAGGCTTGCTGACCAGAGCATGGGAAGGATTTTAGTGCCCTCCCCCTCAGCTGGGCACCTTTGTGCAGGTCGCACGATGCATAACCTTCAACTGTGGCTGGGTCTGAGCTGCCAGCATGTTACTTTCTGGGTCAGTCGGCCAAGGGTGGGAGGAAAATGAAAGTAGTCAAGAATGATGCTGTCTCAGGCTGCCCCCTGGTGGCCACCTTCTGTATGACACTCACAGCTCAGAAACGGCATCTCCAGGGTCTTACCTGTCGTCTGTCTTGGTCCTAGCAGGGGGCCCTCCTACCTACCTGCAGAGATCCAACACCCAGGAGTCAGAGTACCACCCTCTGAACCCTGAGAAAGGATCCTGTCATGAAGCAGCCACTGCGGACCAAGCCCAGCACAGGCACTTTGGAGATGAATTTAGTGTACCTGTTTCCTCACCAGGCTGGAAGCTTCTCCAGGGTAGGGGCTGGTCTCTTCCCAGTGCCCCCGGTGTCTGGCACAGGGGTTGTGTCTCCTCTGTCAGACTCAGAGCTCCCTGAGGACTTTGCCTCCCCTATTGGACTTTCTCTCTCTCTCCCTATCCCACCTGGTTCAGCTTATTGCCTGGGGGTAAGGGATGTGGTGGGGAGGACTCGGGCCTATCACGCCACTCCAGCTAGAAACCCTCAGTCCCGAGCGTGGAGCTGAGAGTGGGCACATTCTGAGGTCAGCCTGCGGCCTTCTTTCTCAGGCTTCCTGGAAAGGCTCCAGCCCTGGGCTCCAGCCCCGCGGCCCTCTCTCCCTCCTGGGGAGGGAGTCTGTCCCTTGTCCTGCCTCCAGACTGTTCAGACTGTTGCCCATGCCCTTCTGGCTGCCGGGCCAAGTCCCACTCCCCTTTTAGCTGTGGATTCAGTCACTGTCACTTCTGCTGGACGTTCCCTCGCGCCTGAGGCTGGATATGGCCCTTCTCTTCCACACTGTCGACAGCTCTTTCCTAGCGCTTCTCAGGGGTGGGATTCTCAGCTCACCCGGGTCATTACTAGATCAATGCCCACCTCCCCCCAGCTCTCCTCCCTCCCCCAGGGAACAGGAACCTGGTCCGTCTCGTTTATGCTTAGAAAGTGCCACACAGAGCTGGGCACACAGCAGGTTCTCAATTAACGTTTGTCAGATGAAGGAAAGGTTGCATCAGTTGGCCCTAGCTGTAATCAGTTTCTAGATATGTGACCTTGAAGAGGTCTCACTTTCTGGGATGCAGTCAACAAATACTGAGCATTTACCATGTCCTATTCTGGGCAGAGGAGTCAAACTCAGATCTGCTGGGCTTCCAGTTCTGTTCTTTCTGCTTATCCAGCTCTGCCTTTCCTGAGAAACCAAAGCCGAGGAGCTGTTGGAGGCCTGGAGATGGGCAACCGCAGCCAGAAGTCTTGTCCTCTCCTGCTTGGCCCCCCAGACATCAGATGCTCTGGTCCTCTGTACGCCCCCCCAGGACCCCTGCCTCCATAGCTTTGTGCACACAGAGCGCTCCTCCTTGTCTGACTGCCAAGGTCCCACTCAACCTTCACATTCCCAGGGTCACCAACGCCTCGAAGCCATCCCCATGACCCTTGGCAGAAGCAACTCTGCTCTTACAATGCTCAGCTGGCATGGGGATGCACCACAGTCCACACTGACCCAAGCTATTTACGCACATGGCTCCCCCAAGCCACGCCAGCCCCCCTTCCAGGAGCGCCTGGGCTTAGACTGAGTCTAATTCATCCCTGTAAGGCTCCGGGTGATTGATCTTTCTCCCATCAGGCCCCGCAGCGTCTGCTTTCCACGCTCCAGGGCCCAGCCCAGGGCCAGGGACTCAGGGTTGTGAGTCTAGCCAGACTAGTGAATGTCTGCGGCTGCCTAGGAACAGTGGGGGCAGGCCACAGGAGCGGGGGCTCTGGCTGGATCCCTAAAGTCAGAATGGGAGAATGGGATTCAGGGCACCGCCTGGGCACTCCCTCCCCTTCTCTTCCTCCTCCCCCATAGATGGGTAGAGCCAGGAGGGCATTGGGGGAGGGTAATAGAAGGTCACAGGGCAGATGGATGGTGCGCTGATCTGGGAAAGGACAGCCTGCCCCCGGGGAAGGACAACCACACATCTTAGAGCTGTCTGGGAATCTGGGAATCGTCAGCTTCAGCAGAATTTCAAGGACTGGGAAGGTGAGTGTGGGCATGCAAGGGGGAGCTGCCCACCCCTGCAAGGCCCAGTCTTCAGTCAGTGCCAAGTTGGGCTGACAGGCAGGACACCTGGGTTTGATTCCCTACCCATTTGCTGTGTGACCTTGGACAAGCCCTTGCCCCTCTCTGAGCACCAGTCTGTACAATGAGAGGACTGAGTCAGTGTGGAGCTGCTCAGCATGAATACCAGAGGCGGGGAGAGCCAGAGCCCCCTCACCCCACCCTGGTCCCTTCTCTGGGATGGTGAGCAGGGGACTGTGGGTGGGGCCACCGCCCAGCCTCATCCACCTGTCCCTGTCTTAGGCTGAAGGGGACACAGTGGGCTCCCCAGGCGTCCTCTCCTCTGTGAACTGCCCTGTTCTCTGCTGGGGTCCCCCTCCCAGTCTCCCCTGCCCCCAGAGCTGCCAGGCTGCCAGCTGGGAACATCAGCAGCTGTGACCAGTGTCCTGCGTCATGGTGAGTCAGAGCCATCCCTCCAAGCCAAGTCCAGTCACCCCACCACAGGAAGAAGAGAAAGGACACAAGGGCTGGCACATCTCTCTTGTTCATTCCAGCGCATAGTAGGTGCTTCACACACAGTCATCGAATGGAGACTCTTCAGGCTTCCCGTGGGTGTAGGGAAGCTTGGTGAGGTAATAATGCAACATATCTGTGTTCCCCGTCACTGGTATTTATTTTCAGCCCTGAGTTAAGTACCTACTATGTGCCAGTCGGTTTTGCATATATTTCTCATTAATCCTTACAGCAATCCTGTGAGGTGAGATTTTTTTTTTTTTACTCCCAGTTAATAGATGAAAAAAACTGAGGCTCAGGGAGGTGAGGCACCTTGCCCAAGGTCACACAGCTCTGTGCGAGCTGAGCCAGCTCTCACACCGGTCTGCGGGCATCGGGGTGGCTGGAGCCACTCCCCACCTGACCCCTACTTCAGAGAGGGCACCGGGCCTGGGGGAAGAGAACCAGGTCAGCACCCGCCCCCAGCCCCTGGCCGTGCCACCAGGCCCGGATCCTTGCCCCGCTGGAGGCCTCCAGCTCCATGCCAGCCTCCTGCCTCAAACCTTACTCATCCCTCAAAACCCTGCCCAGGCCATCACCAGGGTTTTGAGGGGAGCCAGTGAACCTGGCTTCCTCACCTGTAAGAGGTGCACAGGTAGGTGTAGGTGTAAAGAGGGAGATGTGTTGGTGCATGGGAAGGTCTGCTAGAGAGCTGAGTGTGTGCGTGCCTGTGTGTCGGTGTGAATGCAGATGACACATCCGCGTTTGGGGGAACCCATCACCCCCCAAATTTAGTGTGTGCCCTAGTGTCTATGAGTGTGTACGAGTGCGTGGGGGCACGAGTGAGAGCGGGCTTGCAGGTGTGTGCCTGATGGAGCCGCTGTTGCCCAGGAGACAGGAGACCCGCGGCTGAGAAGAGGCGCTGGGCCTCGGTTCTCTTCACCCTGGCTGAGCCCAGGGAGCCAAGGGGTGATCGATTCTTGTCCAGCAGTGAGGCCGCTGTTACGGCCCCTCTGTACCTCCCTCTGTACCCCCACCCTTAGCCAGCGGGCCCGAAGCAGGAGCTGACCGTCAGAAGCCGCTGTCCCTCACAGCCAAGGGACCTCAGGCAAGGCATTGGCATCTGTGAGCCTCAGTTTCTTCTCCTGCAAAATGAGCGTAATGGAATTAGTGTTACTGCGCTCCGCCAGGTGTCTGGTCCAGGTTGTTAAACTAAGGTTGTGTGCTTTGTGCTCCAAATGCTGGAATCTCCGCGCCTCCCCCCCTCCGCCCCCTTCCCCG